GCGGCCGGGGGCTCGGGCGGCTCCGGCTCCCGGCCGCGCGCCGAACGCCGGGTGACCACCATGCTCCTCGTGTTGCCAGCGCATGCGTACAAGCACCACCCACTTCCGGCTGCGCCCAGGGACAGCGCTCCGGGTGACACGCGGTGGGCGGGACCGCGGGAACCACGTGACCCGAAGGGACGCGCCCCTCCCCTCAACCGCTGCGCCACGGGGCAAGGGGCGGCGCCTTCGAGCCGCTCGGCGCATATGGGCGTGGCTCAGGAGCTCGCGCCTGTCCGTTGGGGCGAGCCCAGCACCCGGCCGGGGGCAGCGCCGGGCCTATGAAGGTGAGAGCGGGCTAGAGGCGGCGAACAAGGGACGTTTAGGTTGAAGACGAGGAAGAATGCCTCACTCGGAAGAAAGCTTTGGCTGGGACGACCGAGTCGGGAATGGTCCTGCTCGGTTCAGGGGGTTGGACTAGATGTGACCTCCCGCGGTCCCTGCCGCCCTCGTTTTCCAGGATTATAAGTAGCACCCTCCCACGCAAGCCTTCTAGTGCGTTTTCCACCACCCACACCCCTCCGCAGCTTGGAGAGCAGCAGTGACTGCAGCAAGCTGGGCTCCCTCCCCTCACTGCCAACGAGATGCATTCCAGCATCCTGCCCGATCCTGCTCATTAGATAAGAGCAGCCCGCCAAACAAGACAGGCTGCAACAAAGGGCTCTGTTAAAAGGAAACGTTAGTAAACAGGAGAGGGACAAGACACAAACGAGTGAGTGCTTGTGGTTATCCATGCCCTCATTTAATCACAGGAAGAATTCTGACCACTCCAAGCATCCTCCCGTCAGCGCCAGGACAGGCCTGTACATGGCTGTGTCTCTGCATGGATCCTAGCCCGGGACACTGAAATAGGAACACCCTAGCCAGTAACGACACTTACATTTCAGCTAGTTAAAGTGGATATGCTCCAACATTAGACATTCAAGCTAGTTCATTTATTAGAAAGATTTGCGAGTAACATACAGTTGAAAGTTGTGCCTTTTCCTACCCCTTTTTAGACCACTGAAAGCTGTACAGATGGAAATTAGAATAAAGGAATAATTAATGATACTTGAGGGGAGATCGCACTAACATGGCAGATAGAAGCAAATTCTTCAAGTTCATTCTTTTTTGTACTTGTTTAGCTTAAATTTGTGAGCAGAACCTAGGTTTCAGTTCAATGATAAGGCCAAGGGGCACCTACTACTCCACATCAAACTGAAGAGTATCTTTTGAGTGCTCTGATGCTGTTCTCTATATTGTCATTTAAAGGCAGAACATGAACAAAACAGTCATCTCTGCTTAAAACTACTGGTGCTAAGACACTTCAAATGATTTCTAATATAAAAATAATAGTGCACATTTGAGAACATACACAAATTCAAACATTTTAAAATAAAGTTCAGTTAAAAACCTTGGCTTCTAAACTTTTCACAAAAGGAATTCCTGTCTCCCTCTATTTAATTCCTACTCTCATTAAATGGAAGCATCATGCACACTCAAAATATCACTAATCAGATAACTGCTTGACAAAAATCACTGCCTGACTGTAGTGCTACTTATAATATTAATACATTATCAACCCACTGAAGTTTAAACAACTGTTTCTTCCCACTCTCCAAAAACAAGTAGCTGTGTTAACATTGTTCTTATGGGTCATTTAAGGATTTATTTCCTAACTAGGAACCATCTGTGCATTAATCTTAGCACAATTGCCAGTTTGTAGTATTAATGCTTTCAATTTTGCAGATTTAAAATATATGCATGTTGAGCAAACTTGCATACAATACAATGAATCCCTGTCAACAGTCAGGCTCTTGTATGCTTAGTATACATAACAGAACTAGTTTCTACAAATCATAACAGGTATTTGTAGTAATTTTATTTTTTAACTAGTAAGGAACACACTTAGACACAAGGACCTACACGCTGGCCTTTGCTGACCAAAATTTGATCAGTAATTTTAACTTACAAAGGAAGGAAAATGTTTCTAAAATTGCACCTTGGCATTATTACTGGCAATTCCTTTGCTCCACCAAACCTACTTCAAGTGACTGGAAATGCTCTTAGGTCACACAGGTATTGTAGAACTGAAAGGTCTATCAATATCATTAACATTTATCAACGTACCAAGTGTTTGTAAGTGAAATTCTAACTCAATGGAATAGATTAAAGTTAATGTCTTATCTTGACATTTTGGACAGTGCAGAAAGATATTCTGGATGCTGACATTGCTTGCTACCTGCCTATATGACCAGAATACAGAATGTTAAATGTAAATTCATACTTTTTACCACAAGCTTAAGACTATATAAAACTACATTGAAAATTACCAGCATACAGCTTGATTACTACTCCCACTGAAATAAATTACAAAATGCTTAGTGATTTCAGGTGCAGCATCAGTCTTTGTAATATGTAATAAGCAAGTAGAATGACAGCTAATGTTTTCAATATAAATTTCTAGACCTTTAAAATCACAGTTGGTAACATAATTCCTTTGCAAGGGAAAGACGGTCAATTTAAAACTTAAGTTTAACACTGGGACATTTTTCAGATGAAAAGAGGAGCCAATCTTCACTCTAGCACTGGTATCCTTTAGGGTCAGAAGCCAACATTACTGCATGGATTAAGCTGGCACCAGAAATTAACAAGAACTCAGGCTTTGCAGCTAATAGTGGTCAGAAAGTCTTATCTCTAGGTCAGGGGTTGTCAAGCAGGGGTACATGTGCTCCTGGGGGTGCTTTGAAAGGTCCCAGGGCGTGCGGGGGTAGGCGGGTGCTCACAGGAGCAGGGCCAGGGCAGGGCAAGAGCAGGGCTGCAGACACTGCACTGCGGCTGCTCCACCACTCATCACCCCACCCCACCCCACCCCACATCTGGCTGCTTGCCCCCCCTTTCCCTACCCCATTAGCATCCAGTCGCTCATCCACACCCTGACCCAGGTGTATACTTATTAAAAAAGGTTGAAAACCCCTGCTCTGGGTGACACCTAAGCACCAGAAAACTTGGTAGCCACCTCAAATTAAAAAGATATCTCCAGTGTATACGATTAAACAATACACACTCCAGCACGTACTATGTGCTCTGATTTGGTTGATTTTCAAGTATCTATGGCTCTTGAACATTTAAAAACAACAGATTAAAGTCAAAACCAGGCACCTTTTGGCTCCATATTAATTTGGTTTTTGCCCACTTATTTCAGGCTTAGCTAAAAAACATGCATAATAGCACATTTCATAACACAAGACAAAATCTCATCACTCCCATTTATAAGAGGAATGAGCCACAGGAATACATAGACAGACAGTAGGAGCTAGTATAATCATTGGAATATTTTGGAAGAGGGCCACATGTTTGCTTTTTATTTTTTTTCAGCCACAAGGGACATTTTATACCAAAAAATAAAAATAAAAATTGGGCTGTCACTTAGACAGGAAAGCAGCTTAGTGCTATATATATTAATCAGATTCCAATTTAGTCTATTAGAGAATTTTTTCCTTAGGAAAAAAACCCGCAGAACACCCCCTGAATGATCAATTTCTATACAATTGCCAAACTAGTAGCAGCAAGCTCTTTAGAAGAAATTCAACATATGGAATTTCTTTTTTGAAAATAAAAATATATACATTTTTATATATTACCTCAATGGGAGCCAAAATATACTAGTGAAAATTTTACAGCACATTACTCTTCCAAAAAAAGAAAAAAAATATTTTCAGTATTCTCTTTACAGATCATTTCAATTAGAAAACAACAGTTTAATGTAAAACAAAAGTATTTCATACATTAGTGAATTGATCTCTAGGTTAGGAAAGAAATATACAGTGTATGATATGCCTTGGACTTACTGATACAGCACTGCAAATTAAAAATTTTGGTTTTGTCATAATTTTCACCTCTGTTAAAGTCTTCATGAAAAAAATCCAAAGCACTAAGACAGCAGACTGCTGTCAAAATGCAATACATTATGAAGAAAGATTTCTTTTAGCTTGCAAGATATAGCCTTTGGATTTGATAATTCCTCTGCTTTTAACAATGACAGAATACCGGAGAAGCCACAAGGGAGTCCATTCATGTGCTTGACTGTTCTGGATACTTTCTTGAAGAGCTTCTTGGAAACTTGCTTCACAAAGCAGCTCTAAAAGTAAGATATGTATAGTGTTCTGGGTAAAACTTAAGCATACTTTAATTAGCAAATACTGTAATCTTCATTATAAAGCAGAACTGTCCAACTGATAGACTGCATGTGGCTCATGATGAGGTTAAGACTTGGCCCAGGGGAACCCAGGGAGCCCAGAGCTTGCACAGAAGGGGTAGCCTCAGGGCCATGGGGTGTTCCCTGACTGCTCAGAAGCTAGGCAGCCCTGCTATAAAGGTTTAAATATCTCAATAAATAATGTTACACAAAGCACCTGGTGATACACCATCTATCCATTCTTCTGAAATGTGTTACAGGGCAAAAATCTGAAAGTTATAGCATAACTGCTGCACCAAGTCATGAATTGGACTAATTTTACCCAAAGGTCTATTTGAAAGGTGGTCAGTCACTACAGACATAAGCTTTGATGATACAATATGAATTTAAGAGAATTACCTAGACGTTTAGGAGGGGAAAGGGTCAGTGAGGGAGCAGAGAGGGGAGGCACTTTTGTTTGACAGTTTGGTCTAGTTAAATCTTTAGAAGAGCTAGATTCATCAATGGACAAGTTTAAGACTAAATCCAAAGTACTGAGCATTTTTAATTCCCACTGAAGTCAATGGAAGATGAAGCAGCTCAGTTCCCTGAAGAATGCGACAAGTCTGAAGATCACACACTTTTGTCCCTACTCTGCAAATACTTCCTTATTCCAATGTTAAGGTAAAATGGCCTTAACAGGCATTGTGAGATTGCACTGCAGAGGGTGGGAGGGTTGGGGGTGTGCACATTTGGTGTACTGCCATCCAGCTGCAGTGAGCTAAAGCAGGCACTCCTTCCAAGAGGAAAGCCCTGCTGGGTAGCCATTCTTCCTGCAACAGGACTCTGGGGTTGACTGTGGCACAGGATGGCCAGTACTCATAAGCAGAGCTGACCCTAAGGGATGGCAAGGCCTGTGCAGGTGGTGCACAGCCAGAGCATGGAGCTGGTGGTGTGCGGCAGCACCTGAATGGCACTGTCCACGGGGGCCCCCCCAAGTGTGGTTGCCCTTATTTGCCCCTTACAAGGGACAGCTCTGTTCATAAGCACAGCACAGCCCTTCTTGCTCTGCCTCCACTTCAAATCCCAGTTTCCCTCCCTCTAGCTTGGTAGTTTATGGTAAAGCACATTAAAGAATTTACAGCTTGCAGGGTGCATTTGGGGTTCTACACAGCACTGCAGTTCCAGCTGGCAATATCCATGGGTCACAGAAACATCAGTTTTGATACATGTCCACAAACTGATGAAACAAGACTTGATAGTACTGGAAGGATTTCTCTGGCATCCTGTTGACTTGAAGAACCCAGGCAGTTTGTTTGCTCATGTGCATTTGAAGACTCACTATACCACACAGTTGTGTGAGTTTTGCCTGCTTGATATTTTATTAGTTGATTTTTGTTTACTTAGACTAGTATCCAGGAAGTAGGTCCTGGTAGCAAGGGCATCGATCCTTGCTTTTTGGCTGGCTAGACATTGGTTTGATGGCTGCTTCTGCCATAACAAAAGAGATAAGATGGTTTTTGGTAGGCCTTCCCCCTCTTCCCTAACAATTAGTAGTTAACACGCCTCAAGAAAATGAGATGGATTTGTAAACAGCCTAAGCTATGTTAGGGGCAAGAGGGGTTACTTTGGCAGTCAGCAGGGAATGCTTAAGATGAGCATGGATACATGGGCTGCACTTTTTCAATTCAGCCTGACTAGAAGGACAGGTACGTTGTAAACAGCAGTGGAAAAAAAGACCCTTCTCTTGTCAGCACCCACAGGTTGATCCTGCTACTTTCTCCATAATACCTGGCCTCTACCTGAATGAAAGATAAACATTACTTGCAAAACTAGGTTCCCTGCAAGGTAGCAAGAGCTGCAGGTTCAATTTTTTTTTATTAATACATAAGAAAGCAAACAAGCCAAAGCTGAATCACTAATTCTTACTTTATGCTGTTTAAAAATTAAGACATTCCTAAGAACTTATTGCATCTTGCATAACTCCCGGACCATCAAGTCTACAGCATTACTATCTTAAAAATTAAGCTAATTCATAAACAGCAGCATACATTAAGATAGCTATTGCTCAAATATACCAATAATACCAAAGAGCCTGGTATTTTTGAATTCCAGAACTTGACTGGGGGGCAGTGGCTGCATCTTTGAGCCCTCGCTTGCCTAGCCTCCAGTGCCTTGTACTTAAATCCAAGACAACAGCTTTTATGTTATATGAAGGGGGAAAACATCTCATCTTGGATTTAAGTGAATATGCCCAAAACAGTGAACTGGGTCAAACAAGTATGATACACAATACTTATTGGTATGATATGTGCTCTCAGGTTTTTTTTGGTTTTCCTACTGAAGTATCCCAGGAAATATAAAACAAAACTTGGACAAGCATATAACAGTAATTGATAAACCTGAATCCAAATCATAGGGTTTAACCACCACAAAACCTATATATCAAAATGAAAATGTTGCCAATTATGTCTGAAATTATCTTCTCTCAAATTTGTCAGATTAAACATTACAGCCTCACCTTTTGGATCATTATGAGTTAACAGCTGTATGTCAAACTCTTTTGCAAATGCTGTGAGGTCAGGTGGCATCACGCAGCAAGAAGCTAGATTTACCTGGTTACTACTTGGTTTCACCTGAAAGAAAAATAAATTCTCTTTAGGAAGAACTAGAAGAAGAAACAAATTAGTACTTTAGAAGCATACAAACATCCTTTACTGCATAAGAAAGTCTGTTCCAGGTTCATTATCCTAGCAATTTAACCTGAACCTTGTTTTAAATGCCCTACTCATCAGAGAAGTGAGCTTAATTTTGCAAGACACCAAACTTCAACTCAGTGGGTGCATCTACACATGTCCCTATGGCACCTTTGTTACTGTGCCATCGTTTAGTACTTCCTTTTGGAAGTACTAAATGACAGTGCAGTAACAGTCTGTACTGCACCATGCACATAAGTGCAGTTATTTTTAGCTGCTACATCACTATAGCAATGCATTATAACAAGGGAGTGCATTGCTACAGCAACATAGCTGCCGTGTCATGGTTCTTGCCCGCAGATGTTATGTTGCCATAGCGCATTGCTACGGCAATGCAGCATCATGTGTAAATGTGTCCAACATCAACTTCAGTGGGAGCTGAAAAAATTTAGTTCCTTGCAACATAGTCCTAAATAAAGATGGACCTCACTTTGACAGTCATCATGGTAAAATATGCATAACAGTTTTGGCTTTCTGTCTGTTATGTCATTGGATCAGCAGTTCTTTGTTTCCAGTAGAAGAGGAAGGAATTAAAAACAAACTAACAAGTCTAATTGTAGACTAAAATAGTGTAGTACAACCAAATTATCAATTTTGCTAAGAATATAACATTTGTAGCCATGCACACCCTTAAATAAGAGCCTAATCCAAACTTAAGTTGAAAGGGTTCCTTCTCCATTGACTTGAACAAACTTTGGAGAAGGCTGTCAATGCATTTACTGTTGACCAAAACATCCAGTCAATATTTGCATAAGATTTTTCTTCTTCCTTCACTTGGCACAAATGACAAAAAAAGGGTCAAATAAATACCCTTAGAGGATCTACTATGTGACTACAGTCAGACAGCAGGGGTGTCAAATACACCTGGTCCTGCAGGCCAGATGAGGGACTGTGAACCAGTCTATGGGCCAAATCAGGGCTTACGAGAGCCAGTGCACAAGACCAGTCTGGCGGGTTGCTGCATACAGCACGCTCCCCATGCTGACCCATTTGTGCTGCATGCAGTGTGTACTGGTCCCACTCTGGGACTTTCGCAGCCTGTGGTGGATGGACTGGACCCACAGCCCAGAATGCAGGCTGTAGGTGGTGTCATGCCAATTTGGCAGCACACATCCTGGACTGACCACCTGTGCCATATCCAGTGTCGAGTTCAGCCCATGCACCAGACCAGGTTAGCAAAAGTCAGTCAGAGATCCCCAAGCCATATGTTTGACACCCATGACCTACAGCATTCTTAGTTGGAGGTTCCAATTACTGGTAAGAAAACAGTAAATCCACCTACTAATGAGAGTTTAGATGACTTGGAAACAAATGTGTGCACAGAGAAGTGCAGACTTTCACCTGTTGAATGTTACAGAAACTAAAAAAAGAAAGCTAGATTGGTCAAAGAACACCTCCTGCTCCATGTTCCATATACTTTGTTTGTCCCTTTCACCCTTAAGTTTACTATATAAACAGCATCTTTCTGAAAGAAAAGGCTTCCTATTAAAATAGAGAAGGCTATGGGTAATGATTTATAAAACAACAAAAACAGCATCCTGGAACAAAATTGAAGAGTTAAGAAAAATTAAATGAATAAATGAATGGCAAGAGGAGTATTCAAAATAAAGTCTGTTGTTCAAATTTGATAGTTTAATTAACACTGATTTTAAAAATCAAAAGTATAACAGTTGTATAATTGGATATGATATACCAGGAAAACAACAGTTACTACAGTTACTGCAGGTGTGTAATTTGTTCTTACCTGTGCCCAAACGTACAGCTGCTCTAGCAATGTTTTATCTAGATCAGAGGTACCTATGGCAACAATCTTTTCATTTTGTACTAAGTTTTCAAGTTCTTGCCAGTAAGGTTGTAAATATTCTAGGGAAAGGTTTATTCCATCTTCAATAGGAGGTGGAGCAATAATCACAGAATCTAACTGGGCAACCCCAAGGGCAGAGCATGCTGAGAAAAATAAAAACAAATATCACTGTTTATACTTTTATCTCAGCCTAAGCAACACAAACATTTCAAACAAAACATACACACAGCTTTTCTCCACTTATTCCTCACTCACCATTTTATAACATTACAGAACGTTTGTATTCTATGACAGAATGGTTTCCCAAAATTAGGAGCTGAAGTCTGAATATCAGATACAATCTCATGATGGAAATCTTGAGCAAAGCCTGTAGGCTCTGCATATTTTCTGATTTTACTGTCTTCCCTCCA